GAAAAAATTCGGGGAAAAAATGAGGATTTTTGGGGAAAAAACGGGGATTTAGGGGGGAGAAAAGGGGATTTAGGAGCATAAAATGGGGATTTAGGAGCATAAAATGGGGATTTAGGGGGAGAAAAGGGGATTTAGGAGCATAAAATGGGGATTTGGGGTCATTAAAGGGGATTTAGGAACACAAAAGGGGATATAGGAGCTCTAAAAGTGGATTTAGGAGCATGAAAATGGGATTTAGGAGCACAAAAAGGGATTTGGGATCCCAAAAAAGGGATTTAGGAGCAGAAAAAGGAGATTTAGGATCCCAAAAAAGGGATTTAGGAGCACACATAGGGGATTTAGGAGCACAGAAAGGTGAATTGGGGTGAAAAAATGGGGATTTAGGGGTAAAAAGGGGATTTAGGAGCACAAAAAAGAGATATAGGAACAATAAAAGGGGATTTAGGAGCATGAAAATGGGATTTAGGAGAATCAAAATGGATTTGGGATCCCAAAAAAGGGATTTAGGAGCACACAGAGGGGATTTAGGAGCATAAAATGGTATTTAGGAGCGATAAAAGGGGATTTAGGATCCCAAATTTAGGAGCAGAAAAAAGGGAATTAGGAGCACTAAAGGGGATTTGGGGTCACTAAAAGGGGATTTAGGAGCAAAAAGGTGGATTTAAGTGCATAAAAAGGGGATTTAGGAGCACACAAAGGGGATTTGGGGTCACTAAACGTGATTTAGGGTCACAAAAAGGGGATTTAGGAGCACACCAAGGGGATTTAGGAGCAAAGAAAGGAGATTTAGGGTCACTAAAACGGATTTAGGAGCACACCAAGGGGATTTAGGAGCAGAAAAAAGGAATTAGGGTCACTAAAATGGGATTTAGGAGCACACAAAGGGGATTTAGGAACATTAAAGGGGATTTAGGAGCACACAAAGGGGATTTAGGAACATTAAAGGGGATTTCGGAGCACAGAAGGGGATTTAGGAGCATTAAACGGGGATTTGGGGGCAGGAAATGGGGATTTAGGAGCACACCAAGGGATTTAGGAGCAGAAAAAGGGGATTTAGGATCAAGAAAGGGGATTTGGGAGCATAAGAAGGGGATTTAGGGTCACTAAAAGGGGAATTGGGTCAGAAAAGGGGAATTAGGAGCACACAAAGGGGAATTAGGATCAATAAAAGGGGATTTAGGAGCACACAAAGGGGATTTGGGGTGAAGAAATGGGGATTTTGGGGGAGAAAAGGGGATTTAGGAGCATAAAATGGGGATTTGGGAGCAATAAAAGGGGATTTAGGATCCCAAAAAATTGGATTTAGGAGCAGAAAAAGGGGAATTAGGAGCACTAAAGGGGATTTGGGGTCACTAAAAGGGGATTTAGGAGCACACCGAGGGGATTTAGGAGCACAAAAAGGGGATTTAGGATCACTAAAAGGGGATTTAGGAGCACAAAAAGGGGAATTAGGAGCACAAAAAGGGGATTTGGGGTGAAGAAATGGGGATTTAGGAGGAGAAAAGGGGATTTAGGAGCAGAAAATGAGGATTTGGGGGTCACAAAAAAGGGATTTAGGAGCACAAAAAAGGGATTTAGCAGCAGAGAAAGGGATTTGGGATCCCAAAAAGGGGATTTAGGAGCACAAAATGGGGATTTAGGGGTAGAAAATGGGGATTTAGGAGCATAAAAAGGGATTTGGGATCTCAAAAAGGTGATTTAGGAACACAAAAAAGGGATTTAGGAGCAGAGAAAGGGATTTGGGATCCCAAAAAGGGGATTTAGGAGCACAAAATGGGGATTTAGGGGTAGAAAATGGGGATTTAGGAACATAAAATGGGGATTTGGGATCCCAAAAAGGGGATTTAGGAACACTAAAAAGGGATTTAGGAGCAGAAAAGGGGATTTAGGGTCACAAAAAGGGGATTTAGAAGCACACAAAGGGATTTAGGATCAATAAAAGGGGATTTAGGAGCACTAAAAAAGGATTTTAGAAGAAAAAAAAAGAAATTTTAGGGAAATTAATTCGAGATTTGGGGATAAAAAATTAAATTTTGGGG